TATTCGTTACTTCAACTGCTGCAGATAATCTTACATGGAGTCAGAAAATGCCTCAATGGGATCACAATTACTGATCAGGATAATCTTGAATTCTCTGAGGAGCACTAAAAACAGGAGCTGAGGGAATATTTCACTCTAAGTTGGTGTGGGGATGTGCATATGAAAGAGAGTGTTTTGAGGTAAGGGTCAGGAGGTTGCAAAGACCAAAGAACCTGGGTTGAATTAAGGCCTTCTATCATAGGTGAAAAAATGTGAAGGCTACTGATCAGTTGTTTTCTGTGCCAACATAGCAAGCACATAGCCATGAGAGGTCACATGGATATGATGATAAGCAGAGGAGAGCAGTTAGGAATTCAGACTCTCAAGTCAGATTGGCATGGGTTCAAATCCCCACTCTTGCACTTAGTAGTTGTGCAATCTCAGGCAAGTCACTCAACATTTTATCAACCATAAAATGAAGACAAAAAATAGGACTAACTCATGGCAATAAAGAACAGAACATGTTCCTTGTGCATAATAAGTATTCAAAATTTGTTTTTCAATATCATCATCAGTTATTGTAACCTTCATCTTTATTATTCTGTCTCTACTCTTAGCTCATCCTTCCATAATATCTCAAGCCCTCTTGCCTCCCAGGAATTACTCTACCAGTTCTTCTCCGTATTCTCCTTGCTCCTCCAAGCTCCAATTATGCTCCAGAGCACTTCATTCTGACAAATCCTTAACTTGATTCTCTCTACATCAAGTTATCATATCTCCTTTCTAGTGCCCATGTCTCAAAAAAGGTAGCCTCTGCTTGTTATGTCTGTGTACTCAACTCATAATCCAATCCTACATCTCCTACACTTCAGCTCCTATTTCCTTTTTTCATTGAATTGGACCTTTCAAAGTCACCAGTGATAGTGACATGGTATATCAAATCTAAATATCTCTCCATATGATCTCTTGCCCACACATCTCCTTGAAATATTTCCCAGTTGATGTCCACTTTACTCATCCTCATCATGTGGCTTCTATACCTCCTATTTTGTAAAAGTCAGTTTCACATCATGTTCTTATCTTGGCCCTTGTCAACACTCCATCTCTTACTGTTATTACAACATATTCTCTCCCTGAACCGACAAAGCCTCTTCTTTGTTTTCTAAATTACCCCAACTCTTATGGAAACAAACAATTATGAAACCCTATTTTTAAATTTGGTCTTGGCTAGAATATGTACCCTAAGTAAATATTATAGTCTCTTTTAGCAGTTTTAAAGAATTTTTAAAGGATTGGATTCTGTTAATACGGGGGGTTTAAAATAATCCTTGAACTAACTATTAAATCTTATGTAAGTAAGAAAAAGTTTAACAAATAGTTACAAACCTGTTAACAGAAAATTCCAATCAAATGTATACTTACACTGTATCTTGCTACTTTAAATTTGAATTTAGAAGTCTGTTTGGTGAAGCAAAGAGCTTCTCTATAGAAGTTGAAAAGCTTAAAACTTGCAGGAACTAGTGATTTTTAACCTTGAGATTGAAACATATTTGTTGTAAAAACCTAAAATTTTATAGGAAATTGGTTTTCCTCTTAATATATTGCTCATAGGGGGCTGATTTCATACCCTATCTGTGTTGTTATTAACCCACTATGACATCATCTAGTCCTAATCAGCTCAAGCTGTAGAAAAAGACTCTAGATTTCCATAACACACTAGCAGTGATTTTGCTGGTGGAACATTTGGCAATATCTAGAGACATGTTTGGTTGTTACAAAAGGGGAGTGCTTTTGGCATCTAGTGGGGTACAGGGTGGGGATGCTGCTACACATTTTAAAGTAACAGCCCAGCCACCACCAGCAACAATAAATTATATAGCTTAAAATGTCAATTCTATTGAGGTAGAGGAAGCCTGATTTTAAAAAGCATTTTCTTGAAAAAGAGGAAAGTTGATTTCCTGATTTCAAAACTCACTTCAAAGTAACTGTCTCAAGACAAAGTGGTACTGGCATAAGAATGAATGAATTAAAAAGATTATATATCTTTTAAATGTGAAGTTTTTTTCCTGTGTCCTCAATTATGTAAATATACCTTCACATTAAAAGTCAATTGATTTTCAACAAGGGTACCAAAAGAATTCAATGGTGAAAGAAACATCTTTTCACAAAAAGACTGGAACAACTCAATATCCACACGCAAAGAACAAAGTTGGAGCCCCTGCCTCACACCATATACAAAAATTAACACAAAATGGTTCAAGGACCTAAATATAAGAGCTTAAAATATGAAACTCTTAGAAAACAAAAAAGGGTAAATCTTTGTGACCTTAGATTTAGCAATATTTTTTATTATAACACAAAAAGCTCAAGCAATGCTCTTACTTTATTAACAGTAGCAAAAATAGACAGATTTTCAGTTAATTCCAATTATATCCTGAGCCTCTAGAATGTGATTTTTCTGAATGATGTATGGGGACCTTGGAAAGTCTAAACTCACCAATGCTTTGTCCATCATCCCAGAACATCTGACCTTCAGCTTTCCCATTGTCATCCAAAGCAACAATCAATCCCATAAATAGTTGTCGACTGTGAAAAAAAAAAGTTATTTTTCTCTAGATTATAAGCTATACAAATAAATGACAGATTCTATTGAAAAATATGATTAATCCAGGAAAATAAGGTAATAGCTTTAAAATGCACAGAAAGCTCCATAAGTACATAATATGAGACAAAATACAAAATAATTAAAAGCTAATGGAAAAATGTTTAAAATTTAATAAAATATTTGGCAAAACTTCAACTTTCAAAAATTAAATACACATCCTTTACTCATATACATATTATAAGTAATATGATAAGAACCTACTTTTTAAAAATACATTTTCATTTATTTCAGAGAGGAAGGGAGAGGGAGAGATAGAAACATCAATGATGAGAGAGAATCATTGATTGGCTGCCTCCTGCACTCCCCCTACTGGTGATCAAGCTCGGAACCCAGACATGTGCCCTTGACCGGAATCAAACCTGGGACTTTTCAGTCTGTAGGCTGATGCTCTATCCACTGAGCCAAACCGGTTTCGGCCAAAACTACTTCTTTATAGAAAGAAGACACCCTGCCCCAAATAAAATAAAAACAAAACACATCCTTCAGTAGCTTCCATATTGCTGCAGAATAAAATGCAGCATACTTACCCTAGCATTCATAATTCTCCATGACCTCATCCTAACCTGTTTGAACTTTATTTATTTTATCCCTCTCTTTTATCTTGCTCCAGTTTACTGAATGGTTTACTATTCCCCAAATCCAACTAATGTTTCAACTTCAGTTCTTTAATTCTCTCAGAATATCTCTTTCCTCTCCAACTCCAAGGAGCCCCACTTCCTGTGCTTCCTGTGCTCCCGTGAGCTGTGTTGGCCAATCAGAGAATCCCACCGCCTGGATTTAATGAACTGTCTTGGGGACACTTACCAAGCAGGGCCAGACCCTCTGCCAGGGTCTGATGTGGACACCAGATCACCTACTTTAAGGACCTGCAAACCTACAATTGCAGAGCTATCTCTTCTACCACGTGGAGATCAGGCCAACCCAGGAGAGTGGGCCCAGAGGGCAAGAGAGTGACAGATGCCCACAGCACCTGGCACCCCGACCCTCATTTTCAAACATTCAAATCCTATTTATTATCCAAACTCAGCTCAAAGCCCTCTTTCATATAAAACCATGCTTTGCACAAGATTTAAAGTTAACTTCTCTCCTTTTGAGTTGACTCTCTTGATATAACAGGTTCTTCTTAATATGATATGATAGGTATGTAATATATATATATATACACACACATACACTAGAGGCCCAGTACACAAAAATTTGTGCACTCGGGAGGAGGGGGGGCCCCCTCAGCCCAGCCTGTGCCCTCTCACAGTCTGGGACCCCTCAGGGGATGACCACCTGCTGGCTTAGGCCCGCTCTCCAGGGGCTTGGGCCTAAGATGGCAATCAGACATCCCTCTGGCAGCCCGGCAGCCCTCAGGGCATGTCCACTTGTCAGCGAGGAGTAGCCCTAAGCTGCAGACATCCTTACCACGGCTGAGGAGGCAGGAGAGGCTCCCACCACCACTGCTGTACTGACAGCCCTCAGCCTGGATCACCCTGCAGGGTGGGGGGCCCCACTTGGGTGCCTGGCCAGCCTGGATGAGGGGATGATGGCTGTTTGCAGCTGGTCACACCCCCTTCAAGGTGGGGGTCCCCACTGGAGTGCATGGCCAGTCTGGGTGAGGGGCTGAGGGCCGTTTTCAGGCTGGCGGGCGACTGAAGCTCCCAGCCTCTCCTTTTTTTCTTTATTCTGGGATTTATTTACCTTCTATAGCTGTCACTGGAGCTGAGAGCTGGCTCCAGCTTTCAGGCCCGGCTTCAGCTCTGAGGCTGCAGCTGGCTGAAAGCGGGTATCTGGAGTTTGTTCGGCTTCTATAATTGAAACTCTATTGCCATCACTGGTGCTCTCAGCTCTGAGGCCGTGGGATTTATTTACCTTCTATGGCTGTCATTGGAGCTGAGAGCCAGCTTTAGCTCTGAGGTTTGGCTCCAGCTCTGAGACCTCGGCTGCTGAAAGCAGGTATCTGGGCTTTGTTTAGCTTCTATAATTGAAACACTATTGCAACTCCAGCTCTGAGGCCTGGCTGGCTGAAAGCAGGTTTCTAGGGTTTTGTTTAGCTTCTATATTGGTAACAATGTTTCAAACTGCAAGCTCAGAGGCCGGCAAGGCAGGCAGGGAACACTGGAGTCCTCCGTCACTGAAGCAAGCAAGCCTCATGTTCGCTTCCAACTGCCTGGTTGCCGGCTGACATCTTGGCTGGCAGTTAATTTGCATCTA